GCTGTTGAAAACTATTAAATAAATACACTGGAATGAGTAATAGGTAGGTACTAAGGCAAATAGGTCTTTGATGTGAAGATTTATATTAATCTTGCTGGGAGTTAGACTGTATTTAATCTCTTATAGCTATAGATATAGGAGATTTCAAATTCCTCCAATGTCCTTGTTTTTGGCTTTGGGATTCCCTTTTGTATTTTTCCTTAGAGAAAGTCTGTCTTGCAGCCTTTTTTTTTTTATTTTTATTTTTTGCTGAAATCCACTTTTCTTATACTAGAGACTTGTGGTGTATGGTGTGGGAGAGAGAGAGCATTCTAAAATCTTCTAAGTTTTGGCCTTTGGCTTGTGTCTTGAGCATATGACTTTCACAAGTGTTTCCAGTCCTCCCCCAGGGGTATAACTTTCTTCCCACTGTTCCCTACTGTTTACCCTGCTTGTAGCATTCCCAATCTACTTCCTTAGTGCCCTCTCTCCTGTTGATTATGGATTTTTTCCCCCTTAGATGAAACAGGAAAGTGAGTTGGAGTTGAGCAGAGTTCCTTTCTCCTAACTGAGGGAAGTTTTCAGTATGGCCCTCTGGGGAGAAATCCTTCCTACTGGAGAATAGGCCTTTGTCAGGGAGGAGAATCTGACAAGGTTTCACAATGACTGTTCTTTTTCCCCTCCAGCCAGGGCCTTGGGAGATTTTCCTGGAATCCTCAGAACCTCCCTGTGAGAACCTGTTGATATTCCTGGAGGGAAAGTGTTCTCATCCCCCCACCCCAATCCACCTCCCATGACAGTAACCTCCAGGAGTTTCTCGCTCTCACTTTGGTCCACTCTCAGGCTCCAGCAATTCATCAAAATTACTAGCTAAGTGTTTCTGTCACTTTAGGGGTATCTTGAGGTAAGCAAGCATCAGGGGCCTTATCTCTCTGCCTGTGCCTATCTCTCCAGAGTAGGTAGCTGTTTGTCTTGTGACTCAGTTCTCCGAGTCCAAGTCATTGATTTTCAGTTTGTCCAGTTGTTCTTGTTGTAAGGATAGGATTGGCAACTTCTAACTTGTAAATTCCTTACATATTATAGCTGAACATAAGATATTTTCTTAAGTTTTCCTGCTGCTGGGAACACAGGAAGTAGTTTCAACAGTGAGAACTGAATTGTCTCCTTGTACTTGGGTTTGGGTCATTGAAATTAAACAAGGACTCCAGTATAATTTATATGCACACACAGTAATTAATTTGGGAGGTAGTTTAGCAGGAGAAGTTTTAGAGGAATGAATCGTTCATGCCGATGAAGGTGGGACTTGAGAAGAACAGGCTATGACTGGAGTGGAGTGACCCCCAATACTCAGTAGGAACGATGGCTGAGTATATTAGTTTGTGTCCAGACTACAATGTTTGGTCTGAAGTATGTTTCATTCTGTGGTCAGTGTGGAGTCACTAAAAGATTTTGTAAAGGTTAATAGCAAACATATGAACAATTTATCTAGCAATAGTACAGGATAAACCAAAAGGACATTGGGCAAGTAGTATTGAACTCAAGATTTGGTGTCTGAATAAAGATAAAAGGAGAAACTGAGAAAAGCTATGTCTTAATAATGGTAAGATCAGAAACTTGAGAGGTGAAGTCCAGGTGTCTGGCTTATAACATGAAGAGTTTGAAATACAACCAGAATTCACAACAGAGTACTGGGGCTGGAGATAAGATTCGAGGGTCATCTGTACGAAGGTTACAGCTGAAACCTTGAGCACAGATGGAATCCCTGGGGAAGAATAAGAAGTGGGGTTAGGACCTCTGGGGATGTGTAAATTTAAGGGGATGGGAAAAAAATAAAGTTGGCAGTGGGAAAACTAGAGAGCAAAACTAGGACAAGATGTAAAGAAAAGTAATGTGAAGATGATTCTGTTTCCAACTTAGGTCTGTGCTACAGAGACAGACTGAATTGTGCAAATCCAATAGTCCTGACAGAGGAAAACAGCTTCCTGCATAGCTGGCTTGAATGGCTTGCTTCTTGTCAGAGTTTTACTTGAACTCTTCTTATGGTGAAAATAGATGTAAATGTTAGACAGAAAATGTTATTTGTCAGGTAAGTGTCCACATCTATGAGATATTGCCCCATTATTGGAATCCAATCAGGTAGAAGAATGATCTATGTAAGCTGTGAAATTGTAATGATAGACAAATATATAACAGGCATATCTCATTACAATGAATTTTACTTTTTTGAACTGTGCAGATACTGCATTTTTTACAAATTGAGGGTTTGTGGTAACCCTGTGTTGAGCAAGTCTATTGACACGATTTTTCAACAGCGTGTGCTCAGGCCATGTCTCTGTCACATTTTGGTAATTCTCACAAAATTTGAAACTTTTTTATTAATATTATATCTGTCATGGTGATCTGTGATCAGTGATCTTTGATGTTACTGTGGTGATTGATTTGCGGCACCACAAACCATGCCCGTGTAAGACAAGAGAACTTAATCGGTAAGTGTTGTGTGTGCTGACTGCTCCACTGACCAGCCATTCCTCATCTCCCTCTCCTCAGACCTCCCTATTCCCTGACACACAACAATATTAAGCCATCTAATAACCCTATAATGGCCACTAAGTGTTCAAGTGAAAGGGCGAGTTGCATCTCACTCACTTTAAATCAAAAGCTTAGTAAGGAGCTGACATAGGCTGAAAGTTAGCCAAAGTTAGCCAAGTGGTGAATGCAAAGGAAAAGTTTTGAAAGGAAATTAAAAGTGCTACTTCAGTGAACACATGAATGACAAGGAAGCAAAACAGTCTTCTTGCTGATATGCAGAAAGCTTGAGCGGTCTGGATAGAGGATGAAAGTAGCCACATTCCCTTAAGCCAAAGCCCAAGCCAGAGCAAGGTCCTCATTTTTTTCAATTCTATAAAGGCTGAGAGGTAAGGAAGCTGTAGAAGACAAGTTGGAAGCTAGCAGAGGTTGGTTCATGAGGTTTAAGGAAAGAAGTTATCTCCATAATGTAAAAGTACAAGGTGAAGCAGCAAGTGCTGATGGAAAAGCTGCAGCAGGTGATCCAGATCTAAGATAATTGATAAAAGTGGCTACGCTAAATAACAGATTTTAAATGTAGACAAAACAGACTTCTAATGGAAGAAAATGCCATCTAGGACTTTCATAGCTAGAGAGGAGAAGTCAATGCCTGGCTTCAAAACTTTAAAGGACAGGCTGATTTTCTTGTTAGTAGCTAATGTATCTGGTGACTTTAAGTTGAAGTCAGTGCTCATTTAACATTCCAAAAATACTGGGGCCCTTAAGTATGTATTATGCTAAATCTATTCCGTCTGTACTCTATAAATGGAACAAAGCCTGGATAACAGTCCATCTATTGGCAACATGGTTTACTGAATATTTGAAGCCTGCTGCTGAGACCTACTGCTCATAAAAAAAGATTCTTATCAAAATATTACTGCTCACTGACAATGTACCTGGTCACCCATGAGCTCTGATGGAGATGTACAAGATGTATGTTGTTTTCATGCCTGCGAACACAGCATCCACTCCACAGGCCATGAATCAAGGAGTAATTTCAACTTTATGTCTTATTATTTAAGAAATAACATTTCATAAGGCCATAGATGACATACATAGTGATTCATCCCTCTGATGGATCTGGGTAAATTGAAAACCTTTTAGAAAGGATTCACCATTCTAGATGCCATTAAGAACATCCGTGATTCATGGAAGGAGGTCAAAATATTAATACCAACATTAACAGGAGATTGGAAGTTGATTGCAACCCTCATGGAGGACTTTGAGGGGTTGAAGTCTTCTGTGGAGGAAGTAACTGCAGATGTGTTGGAAATAGGAAGAGAACTAGAATTAGAAGCAGATCCTGAAGATGTGACTGAACTGCTGCAATCTGATGATAAAACTTGAACTGACGAGAAGTTGCTTCTTATGGATGGGCAAAAAAAGTGGTTTCCTGAGATGGAATCTTCTCCTGGTGAAAATGCTGTCAACATTGTTGAAATGACAACAGAAGAGTTACAATATTACATAAACTTAGCTGATAAAGCAGCGGCAGTATTTTAGAGGATTGATTCCAATTTTGAAAGATGTTCTATTGTGGGTAAACAGCATCACAATTCTACAGAGAAATTATTTTGTCAAAGGAAGAGTCAATTATCTTATTTTAAGAAATTGCCACAGCCACCCCAACCTTCAGCAACCACCACCCTGATCAGGCAGCAGCTGTTAATATTAACGCAAGACCTTTGACCGGCACAAATATGTCTTGCTGGAGGCTTAGATGATTGTCAGCATTTTTTAGCATTAAGTATTTTTAAATTAAGGCATGTACATTGCTTATTTAGACAGAATACTACTGTACACTTAATAGACTACAATATAGTGTAAACATAACTCTTATGTGCATTGGGAAGCCAAAAAATTTGTATGACTCATTTATGGCGGTAGTCTGGAACCAAACCCAGAATATCTCCGAGGTATGCCTATACACAAAACTACCATTATTTCAGAGGTAACTCTAAGTAATTTACTCTTTCTCAAAATCAATATATAAACTTCATAATATATAAATTTATGTGGATATTTGTATTTGTGTATACAGTTGACCTTTGAATAACATGAGTTTGAAATGCACAGGCCCACTTATTATATATGTAGATTTTTTTCAACTAAATGCAGATCAAAAACACAATATTCTCAGGACGTGAACCCCATATATATGGAGGGAAGACTTTTTGCATATGATGGTTCCACAGGGCCAACTGCAGGATTGAGTATGCACAGATTTTGATATATGCTGGGGTCCTGGAACCAATTTCCCACATATACTGAGGGACAACTGTATATGCTATCTGTATATATATATAAAGATGTTGTACACCTGGGATCCAGGGTTTGTTTTCCACTAAGATTGCATGGTTAGTGTTTAAAGGAAATAATTGGTAAATTTCTTCTATATCAACAAGGCAGTTTTCATCAAGTTTGTGAAATGTAATTTTATTAATAGAAGGGCATGTCTTACCAGACACACTGTCCCCAAATAAATAAAATCCCAGCATCATCGAAAGCACACAAACACACAGTTTTACAGGGTACAATACAAAGTCAATTTTGATGATGTTCTTACTTGCATTTACTAAAAATCTGAGAAAGACTATAATTAATCTCTAAATAATTATCTTGCATAAAGAGAAAAGTAGAGCACAATTATTTCATAGGTTTTGGAATGATAATTTGAGAAGATTTGCTTTGAAAAGATATTAAGCTATATCACAAACCAAATCACACCCTCTGTAACATTACAACGTGGAATTTTACCTAATCAAAAATAAAAGCAAACTGGCTGAAGAAGGCTGTATCCTTTCTTTTCCAATTTCTATTTTTGGCATGAATTATTAACCTTTTCCATTAGTAGGAAAATGTGCTCTGCAAACTCCCGGATGGCACCACGGCCACCATAGCATTTGCAAATGTATCCAACAGCCTTCTGGGCAGTGGAACAGGCATCGGCAGGAGAGCCACTTAGGCCCACTCTCTTCAAGCACTCTTCATCAGACACTTCATTTCCTATCAAGTAAAATAAATACAGAGCGAGCATTTAATGAGACAAAGAATATTCTAGCTAAATAATGCAAATAGCAACCAGTAAGTAACTCTGGCAACTTCAGTAAGACCTAAGGGCACTGCATATAAGAATACTAAAGATTAGATGGAACAAAAATATTTTAAAGTAAATGAGATCTAGCAATAAAAAATAAACAATAAAAGCAATAAAAAATAAACTCTTTATCAGCTGGAGGAGAATGGAGTATACTTTCTGTTGGCCATGCATATTATACTTGTTAAACACTCCATATATAAATTACAAATTATTTAAACTTTTTATTAAGGAAAATTTCAAACATATGCAAGAAGCCCAATTTCATACTGAATGATTATCAATGTTTTAGATCATTTGTCAATATTTTTCTCTATTCCCTGCCCCCTATTTTTTTTGGAAGGAGGGAGAGGAAGGAATTCCCAGACAGCGTATTTTACCCAAAAACTCTTTGGCAGTTACCTCTCACAGATGAATATACTTTCTTACAGTGACACAATATCATCAAACTCACTTAATTATCATTTAATAACATAGTATGTGTTCAAGTATCCCAATTGTCTCAAAATTCTCTCTTAATAGTTGACTTATTTAAATCAGGAGCCAAATAAGTTTCATATATTATATTTTGTTGATACGTATCTTAAATCTCTTATAATCCATAATAGTTCTCTCTGATTTGTATGCCATTTATTTATTGGAAAATTATCATTTTTAAAGTGTTAAATACTAAATCACACTGACATAATTTTACCCTTTCTCTCCTTCCTCCCCTTTTTTGGGATAGGATGAATTTCAGAAGCTCCCAGTACCTTAGATTCACCACTCTAAGTAAAACTATTATTATATTTTAGACCAAATACTACTAATA